TGGTTTTATTCGAAGTGGATATGTATCAAATTTTATTTAAATGTCAAATGGTTATATTTCTTCCAAACGTCCCAATCGCCCTTTGTAGGTACTTTCCTTTGACAATTCACTCTTAAGATATAAGCGATCACGACAAGGGGTCGAGGAGGAAGACTATGGTTAGTATAAATTAATTCCTTTCGTTGAGACCTTTCATTAGAGTACCATGAAGAACAAACTAGTTCCACTCCCCCCCCCCCTTTTTCCTTCACCCCGTAGTTTGATAAAAGGACAGAAAGAAGGGCAGTAGTTTGTAGAAAACTGTTCCTTTCGTTGAGACCTTTAATTAGAATACAATGAGAGATAAAATTAATTTGTAACCCCCCCCCCCTCCCCCTCAGGCCCCGTCACTCACTGATCTCGAAAAAGAGTCGCACGGGAAAGTTATAGTTTGTATAAACCAATTTATTTCGATGAGACCTTCCATTAGAATACTATGAAGGTTAGAACATGTTTACCCCCCCCCCCCCCCCAATTTTCTAAAGTTTAACTTGGCACCACTAAAGGCATGCACCTTCAAAGTATAGGCTACCTACTGCAAAAAATTCCAGGACTCTAGGACTATTCCCCTAGAAGTAATTCAAAACTGTAGAAGTGGGTCCGGACGGACGGACGGACGGACAAAACGCAAACAATAGCACATTTTTTTTAATTCATAAAAAATGCGCTAGAAATGTTATCCTTTTCCAACAGTGTTGCTGTTTCCTCCTAGGACGCATCAAAATTGGGCTACAACGAAAATGAAGAGCAACGATGTTGATTCCAATTAAAAAATTAACTAATCGCCAAGCGAGAATTTTTTGGGCGATCCTTCTGAAGGGAAATTTGTTTGGTACGTAGTGTTCGGACGATTTTATCCGGTCTTAATATTTTGGAAGCAAAGCCAATTTTTTTGAATCGTATTATAATAAAGATAAATAAAATAAGAGATAAAATATGAGTCGCAAATTAATATTCAAAGGTGGGCGTGGAGATAAGAACATCTGGCTGAATTGGCCGAAGACGTGTTTACTAATCTGCCGCAGGTGTTCGTTATCTTTTATAACAGCGTCGTTTAGGCAGGAATTAGTTTATTAATAATCGTAGGTGCGTGTAGTGGTGCTTCGTAAATCGTGAGTGTTAAAATGATCTTGAGAATTGTGCGTGTGTAATTTTTATTGTTTAATAACTGGCCGCATTTGCAGAACGGATTGTAGGCGTACCTAGGTAACTAACAAAAATTATAAGTTTAGATAATTTTCAATTTTTTACTTTCTTTCAGAAACTGCAGAGATCATCTTCAAAGGTAAGTGTTTTTTTCATTCACGTTATCTGTTTCGTTTTCAATATTTATATGTACGATTACACAATTGTTTAGTTCGAGGATATATTGCAAATATTCCAAGCTCGAAAATATCGGTGCAGAAGTACGGGTCTGTAATCAATATACTCAAAGTTTATTTTAAACGTCTCAAAATTTTTTTTTGATATCATCCACGTAACTTCCGGTGTAAGTTCGTCAGGTAAGGAGATCATTCATTAGACAAGTGAAATCAACTCTTGATTGTACTTGTTAATGAATGATCTAATGCCCGATGCACTTACACCAAAAGTTTATTTTGGTAATTTTAATCAATTACCCACCATCCACCATGTACAGAAAGTAAGGTGTCCATAGAGTATACCAAACACGGTATACTATTTAATCAATATTCCATATCCATTGCTAAGCTGAAATTAATTATTCAATTTAAAGTTGGTAATAAATTGAATTTCTGTCAGAGAAAATTGGTCAATTTTAATTTTCAAAAATGCGCCCGTTAGAACTTTCTGTAAGGAATTGTCGTACAGTACAATATTCCGCCCAAATAATTTCCATACAGGTTCATTTATGAAAGCGAACAAAAGTCAAAATTCGCTCGGACATGCAGACTGAAATCTTGAGAGCGAGAGGAGGCATTTTTAGCTTCCTAGTTTGAGCTGGATGGCTATATGGAAATTTGTGATACATTATTCGAAAGGCTTTCTCTTGTTGTGTACAACCTACAACAATTATGCTGGGTTTTATTACAAAAAAACGGAGAAAACAAAACTAAAATATTTTTTTTCGCTAAAACGTTTATTTTGATTTCGTTTTGCCAGTGTACATTGGGCATAAAGAATATAAGACTGTCAAACACGTTTTTTTAAGATCCTAGTTTTTTGCGCCTCACAAAAGTAGAATTTTTACCCTCGCAGTTTATCCGGAAAACCATTTTTAGCGTTGGAGTGCTAGCTTTTATTTGATCCTAGTTAGTTTCGTGGTTGTTTATACAATTATTAATGTACTCGCACAATGTAAATTTCATTTTAATCTAAAAATAGTCACATAAATTTAAGATTATAATTTCTAAGTACTACCCAGGGCCGCCGTTAGCCCCGACGGGCCCCGGGAATATTTTTTGACCGGGCCCCTATAAGCTATAATTGAAATTTTTGTTGTCCATCACCCTTATCTTAAACTAGACATTTTCAATCTTTACTACTTAGATTTGAAAGGAGAACATTTGAATAATTTTCATACAGACACAGTAATTTTCATAATTTATTATGAATTGTTGAAATTCAAATAGCCAAATTACAATTTAACTCTGCGGATTTTCTTATTAGCAAAAGTGTATCACTCGCTCAAAATTAATTTCTCTAGCAAGTTGAGCTTCAAGAGCTAATGTACCGAGATTGATCTAACGATCTTAAGCTAATGTCGAGATTGATCTAACGATCTTGACCCATAGTCGATCTCAAACGGTTTTTTACCTAGCGAGCCTTCTGCCACTGTGCCGTAATTAGGAAATTTTGCTCAATGGTATGGTTTTTTAAATCTTCTGCTGTGCATTTTTAGCGCATTTTTGAAAAAAATACGCTATTATATTCGTTATTGCTGGCAGGCCGGCTGTCCGCGTTAGATCTCCACAACTACAATAGCTAGAGACTTCAAATATTCACTAAAAGCTTTCTGCTATAGTGTAGATGTGTGTAGTATAAAAACTTATTATTTACTTTGTGATTTGTTTTACAAAATGAAGACGTACCGTCAATTGAAATTAAATAAAATTAATTATTTAACGCAGCCAAAATTACTCGTGAGATCTATAATTTTAAACTTCGCTAATAAAATACTGACCTGTATTACCAAAAATGCGCTTTAATCATGCATATGCTGATTTACAACTTGTTTTATATTCAACTCTCTCATATAGAGATATATATATGCATATGCAGGTTTCTGTTAAAAAATACAATTCAGGTTTCAAAATCTCTTTTGGCCGGGCCCCCAGAATATGTTCGGGCCCCGGGGCAAATGCCCCGGCTGACCCCCCTTATCGGCGGCCCTGGTTCTACCTACACGCATTTCTTTAGAAACAAATTATTTCGTTGTTGTTGACAGCATCTGTGACAATGCAATGTACCTTTTTGAGATGTTTTGTAAAAAGTGTCGAAACATGAAACCATCGTGTAAGAATTTGTATCCACAAACATTTTTTTAACTAATTTTTTCTGTCGAAATTTGAATTTTCAAGCTTTCAAACGACAAAACGCAAAAACAAATTGAATCTGCGGTGAATCCGAGAAAGTTGTGTTTTGAATTAAGGTCTAATTAGTACCTACAAGCACTTACTTACAAAGTCTTTTTATAAATAGATAATCGCCGTTTTTCATCAATTTCGTTTTTTTTAAATTTTCATTAAAACGCAAATTCAAATGGTATCTCCGAAACTCGAGATACTTGAGGCTCCAATTTAGAACAAACTTGTAACCACGAACATTTTTTTTTGGTCAAAAATGGAATTTTCATTCACTTTCCAATGTGAGGTTTGAATTGTAATAATTTAAGCATGTGGGTCGAATATTTAGATATTTACTCAGGGAACTGCATTAACTTAAAATTCATTGCCGAGGCCTGTTTAAATACTCTTAAGGCTACAACCTAAAAATATTTTCGATTCGACCGAATTGCAATTACAGGGAGATTTAAATTAAAGTTTTTTTAAATAGGACCCTCTGTATAATTATTGCATATCTCGATTCCTTGGTTAATTTATTGTGTAATAATAATAATAATAATAATAAATGCCTTTATTTCATTACCTTGCATAAATATATAAAGTAAATGTAAAACAAAATGTAAAACAAAAATTTCAATTAAGGTAAAGAAACCTAGTGGCGAGGTTCAGCATTGGGAGACAGCTCCTCTTGCTGATCTTCCACCTAACCACGAAAACAACCAAAAAGAAAAGAAAAAGATGACAAGTTGCAAGGTTTACTTAGACAATGTAAATTACGTATAATATGCCCTGGCGAGAGGATGAAAGATGAATGTATTACTTGAATGTGAAATTTACCCCAAATTCAACCATTTATTTCAGAATTCCGTTTCAATTTTAGTTTTGAGTTGAATAGGCAGGAAAATATCGACATTATTTCGCTTTTCTCTCGACATTCATAAGTTTAGTGCATCAATGCGGCCCATTTCATAGCCAATTTACGTATAGTACCAAAGAAGTCCTCCGGAACGAATGATCATTGTGTTATAATTATGTGAAACTATTCATCATCCACACCAATGACAAAATATGATTTACAGATCAGATTTTTACAACAAATTGCTTAATTTTGATTTTGCAATGACCACTATGTAATTTAGGATAGCAATCCCTTTAATACAGTCATCATGAAATTACTAATTCTTCCATAATAAGACAAGTGGTTCGATTCATTCAAAGAAACAGAATCTTGAATGGGCAGAACTAACCAGGCATGAGGTTTCACATATCGCATTCACATAACGGTTACATGCAGACACGTTAATACAAAACACCATCGAAGATAGATTTACAGTGAGAATCACACGCAATGGTGTTTCAAATTCAAACAAAGATTATTACATCAAAGCCCTCGTGAGCGTTTGATGCAAATGCAATTTTCTATTGTAAAATACCAACCTTATAACACTTTAGTATTCTTCGCAATTCTCCGGTCTCGTTCAACCTCTCTATGGTTTCCACGTCCTGAAACAAGAAATCACCATGATAATTAGATCACTACAACTGTCTACTGAAATGAAAATAAAATTGCGTAATCTTTCGGTTGACATAGACATACGGTTTCATTTTATCGCAAAATCTGTATGAACTACCACCACTTAACCCGTGGACACGCCTTCGTAAGTTTCAATTAAAACTTTGTAACTGTAGTGCATTCTCTAAATAATCGAAGCTTTGTAATGTTAATTATTCAGGGTCGGGACCACGATCTAACGGCACTGAACGTTTAGAAAGCTCCATATTTCCACGGTCTCATAGATATTGCGTTTGGGAAAACATTAGCCATTATCCCAGATGATGAAAAATTGCCGTTCTGTCATTTCATTTAGTAGCTCATAAAAAATCGAATCTCAAATTAATATGAAAAGCTCTCGCAGGTCGCTTATGGTCTCAGAAAAAATCTTTTCATGCCTTCTTCTTGCAGCAAGAACTTAATAAGCAAGAAACAAGTGGAATGCAGGAAGAACAAGGTATCTGGTTTTACACAGGGTGCTAAAAATGTGGTATCAACACTCCCTGAACACAGATATGTTTTAAAGATGTAGAAATGCCTAAAATAAGGTTTTGGTTATTGAACAATTTTGAATATTTAAATGACAAAATGAACAAACAATTTGTTGTCAGGAGGTTTTTATTTTAAATTTACGATAGTCTCATCGAACCGTCTGACATTTACTCTATTTGGTATAGTAATTCATTCTCAGTTATCTTATGTCATTGTCGTTTATCTACTATATTTTTCAACAAAACGATATTAAGTTGAACCAAAAGCAAACACGGCGAGATCGATTTTTTTCAAAATTTATTTCATGTTCCAAGGATGCTCTTTAAGAAATTGCGAATGAGGAAGAGCCTTTTCCAAGATATTCTTGTAGAGATTTCTAAGATTCTTAGAGATACTTGTATGGAAATTTCAAGCCAGATAGTTACAAAGGGAATTTTTAAGGAAATTCCTTAAATTGCTTTTCTAAGAAGATTGCCTAGATGGTTTAGACTAGGTCAATTCCTAGGGACATTTTTAAAGAGCGAACCTTCTGGAAGCAGTGCTCCGGGGGCGATCTCTTACACGGGCTGATTTTGCGGAAGGAATTTACCGCACATGATTTATTGCCTTTATAAAACAAATTCCAAACAATTTCCATAAATGAAGTGTTCAGAATTTGATTTTATGTGGCAGCAAATATCATTTGTGATTCGGCCCTTAAGACAAAAAATTGCCCCGCAGCTCAAAAACCGACTTTATTTTTGCATTCTACGGACCCGAATTCGTAAAACAACAAGTTTTTGTTTCAAAATTTCCTGAAAAATTTCAATTCTTTCAAAGTACCTACAAATACCTAAGATAAAGGAACTTTTCACGGAAAAATTGAATTATTTTTATAAAATCATGAAAATTACTTCTTATAACAAATCGGGAGCGTGGAATCCAAAAATTGTCACAGATTCGTCATTATCCCTTCCTTACGCTCCAAAGAAAGTCAAAAAGAATTGAAAGGCTCCTTCCGAATGACAGCTTCCTTATTTTTGAGCGCATTTTCCAAAAGGAAAACAAACGCTATTAACCGCACCGCACTTTGTCCGTCTGTCGCTCTGTACGACAGTTCCACTACTAGTCCTTTTTCGTCGTGGTTTCTTTCTTACACGGTGTAGCACGGCCCCGAGACCAAAACGGCAAAAGATTTTTTGGATTAGTCACTTCCTTCCCGAGTTACTGATTATGTGCGGGGAAAATACCCTTTCGTCGGTTGCAAGTGACCACGTTTTTAACTTGTTGGCTTTGCAGTTTTTTGGTTTCAACAGAAGAAGGATGAGATCGTGTAGTGTCAAAATATCAACCACCTGCGACTTACCTACTGTTCCTGAGAAAAGTAACCTCAATTTTGGTGTAGGGCGGTATTTGCCCAGTGGCCCAAATTTTTGTACACCCTCTAATTCTTCTTCTGTCTAAGAAAAAATTGAACATTGATATCTCAACAAACAAAGTAGCGAATTTTATGTTGGGGTTATATTTGATACCTATATAGAATTTTTTGGCCCTAAAGGGCACAAAATCGCCACGCAGACCATTTTATTTTTGGATTCTACACAGCGGATTTTTTTTGTATCGTATGGGTGGCACTTCCTAGGTATTCTTCTTTTCTTGGGAATTTTCCTGTCGCAATCAAAACTTTAAGAATCCAGGAAATTTTCTTAGAAACCTGTTTGGAAGGGATCTTAAAATTCTAATTAATTTATCTCAACGTTATTACTTATTATTATTCTTGAGTCTAGAAATCCGTTTAACACTTTTTTAGCGCATTTGAAAAAATCCTGAAAAAATAAATAAATAAACATAACCAAACTAGAGACCTCTACTGGGAAACAGAAAGTTTTGATCACTTTTGCTACCTGCACTATTTTACATAAGTAGTCCTTTAGTAGTAGTAGTTTATATCTTAATTATTTCTTCATTTGGCATTTGGGTCAAATCTGTGTTCATTTTTAAAATCATATTCATTTTTTCAACAATTTTCTGTTTCCATTGCGCGAATCATTTTGTCGTTTGTTATTTCGTCTATATTTGCTGGAACAAATTGTCTAGATATGAGTCTGCACTTAAAGCTAGAAGTGAATACCCCCAATATATCGACAATCGACGTCATTCTTTGCCATTCAGCAACATTTCACTTCAAATTGCCACAATTCATATCATATCATTTCTAGAGTTAATAAAACCCTATCGACATCAAACTTAAGAAACCATATACTTTGTACAAGTACACATGTTGCATAACTAAACATAATTATAGTATATCACCGTCTCAACGTTGTGCTTTGAACTTTGGGTACGAAAAACAAAATGTCCACACTGTGCATGTGTCCTAACAAGGTCCACCTGTATTAATGTACTTCAGAAATGTGATTGGGACATTTCCAGAATAGGTACGCTTTTTGATATTTGTATATTTAGTAATAACATTTTTTAGATCTAGATTCGAATTTATCTTCTACATTTTCTTTCGGTAATCGAAGATACGATACCTATATGAAGCTAAAGGAACAAGCTTCTTGCCTTACATTTTTTCTGCATGAACTCGATATCCTTAACAACTAAAAGTACATCATAAAAATGAAGGCAATATTGATTTTTAATCCAGTTTCATTGAAGGATATTGAGAAAACACCATTATTCTAAATATCAAAGAAGCGGAGTTTAGTTGCTTTGCTTTTATATCAGTCATAAACGCATGTGTTAGTAGTTTCACACGCATTCAAAATGTAATTTAAGGTTGTAAATAAATCGCTTATTCCAAATATGCCCACACCTAAATTTTTAAGTCAAAAACGTAACAACAGCCTAGCCCGAATTGCAGAGAAACCTCTTAGCCTACATTAACACATTTCCCTCGAAAAGAAAATTTGCAGCGTTATTCACTCGAAAGCGAGTAACGCGTTTATATTCTATAAGGCACGTTTTAAAACGAATTTGGGTTAGGATTGATTATTTTAGCGGCTTCGGTTAAATTTCCAATAACGGTCTAGTAATTAATTTAGCAATATTAAGTTATTTGCTTTACGCCTTTTGTTAACGAAACTCTATGGGGGAATGTTATGAATTTATCGAGGAATAGTTTTAAAGTGATCTGAAAACGTGTACAAATGCTGTACAGAACAATCATTTAATTGAAAAAGACGTTTTCTAGTTCAACCATATAAAAAAGGCATAAACTGTCTGAGGTGAACGTCCGATGTATAACGTTACGAAACGGAGATGAGAAAATGCACCTTGAGAGTATTTGCAATTTCATTTCGTTAATAGAAACCTGGTAAGGTCACTTTTTCACTCGTGGTAGCTGAGAAAACGGCGTGGGCCTAAGCAATCTATAACAATAGCTGATGTTAAACGATATCTTGCAAGAGCGTTGGTTACATGCCTACTCATTTTATTGTCGGAAGTTCGTAATTTCGATTACATTCACAGAAATACTGCGGTATTATAGAAATATGTCACATGCGCTTGAAGTCTGCGGTTAACTATACTGTAGACTGTAGAGTTATTTTTACTATGCGCGTCCCAAAAGAACCAAATATTAAAGTTATACATTTTCTCAGGAAGCAACGAACCATTTTAGTCAATTTTGACTTCCTATGTTAGTGGCTATCATATTTAGTTCAAATAACCTGACCCACCGCTAATATTATTTTGAAAGATATCGTGCAGAACGAGTGAAAAATCGATTCGCTACTCAATCTGTTGCATAAAGGCGGGTAAACTATAAAATCCGTCCGTTTGACTAAGCAGCAATATTAACTACCACTCTTGGTTTTGCTGAATTAACATATTATTATTATTTATTGTTCCATTGTCTTGTTCTGAGCCCTCAACAGGCTTTCGTCCAATTACAGAGTGATCCCAGCACAATATGCTTTTTAGAGGTGCCCATGCAGTTGTTCTATTAATCCGCTATTTACCTTACGAATTAATTTAGTTCGAGTAGTCAAAAGATAATTTTTAAATAACGCTCGACACATTAGTTTTGAGTTTGAAGCCACACTTTATAATCTTGTCGTAAAGTTTAAAATGCCATGATACTGCAAAGAACGCAACGCCTTCCTTCCTTGAAGTAAGGACTGTAATATTATTTATGGCCGTTTGCACCGACAAATTTAAGCGGAGCTTAACTTAAGCGTAGCTTAAAATCCATGGCAACCATTGTCTTAATAATCGTTGCCACAGATTTTAAGCTCGCTTAAGCTAAGATGCGCTTAAGTTTGTGGGTGCTAACGGCCATTAATGATTTAATTTAATTAGTTAATTGACATTGAAACGTACAAGGTAAAAATGTTGTCTGGAACTGTGAATATATTTTCAAAACAATTTTTTTTAAAGAAGCTTTTTATGGTATCCAAAATTATGAAAAGTTTTCCATCAATCTATGTAAATTTGTGGTCAGTGGTGTACTTCTGTATGATCGAAGGGGGCA